ACTCCCTGATATCATGCGCTAAACAGTTGAGGTGCCTGACCTTCTCACTGAATAGCGACCGCTTCACCTGCTCGGTTAGCGGTTCATCGAGACCCGCAAGAATGTGGTCCCATTTCGCGATGAATCGCTCGAGTCGCTCCTCCTCTGCATAGAAAGTCGAAACACTACACCGCAGGTTCGAGAGCTCAATTATTCTAAAAGATTGCTCTCCGATGTTTGCAGTTCTCAAGTGGTCGTATAGGAGCCACAAGATCTGCCTACTCTTGATACGGTTGTTGGCGCGTTGAGCAGCCTCGGTGAGACGATTGATCTTGTCCATGATCGCAACAGTTCGGATGCACTTTCGACTGGCTGCATTGAACCTGGCTTCAAGGACGTGATACCTACATTCTCCATTCAGTTCCTCAAAGGACTTTGCCTTCTCAACTTCGGTTAGCCAATTGATGACGTATAGTCCATCATAGCTGTAGGCATTGCTAACAGCTTCCTTCATATTGGCTATCCATACCCTCAGACCAGCCGCGTCGGGCTCTGCTGGAAGGTCAATGGGAATGCACTTAGTCGCAGCTGTGCAGTTAGGATCCTGATGACTACTGTATCCGCCACCACCAGTTCCGAATAGATGCTGTGGGACCTGTGAACTACCGATTGACATTGCACACACAGGGCAAAGGCGAGTAGCCTTTGGAATGCAGATTTCGCACGCCCTTTTCATGCATACCCTACAATCCTCAATCTTGCTAGGGTCAGGAATGTCCCGATTACACATGCGACAATTCCTCTCGGGAGGATCAGGACCACGCATGACTGGCGGGTCAAGGCCCGATGGATCTTTCGGTCTCGCACCATTAGGATCGTAGCCTGGATAATGCCCGGTTTCGCGCTTGTCCAGGGCTGCAACTGGCGCAGCAATTGGAGCGCCCTGAGAGCTTGCCGCATTGGGCTGACCCTCAGTAGGAACATCACGAGGTTTATCAACAGGCGGTCGCAGAGGCGGGGAGTACGACCGCGTAGGGTTCGTCTCAGGCGCGCCTCCAGGGGACCTATTCCTGATCCGAGTAGCATCGGGGTCCCTCCTCCTCCTGCTTTCGTCCCTAAGGCACGCAAGACAACAGGGTCCTTTGACAAATCCAAATCTCCTGTAGTCATCCTGCCCGGCTGAATGTCTGGTGCAGTAGAAGGTCTTACAAAACTGACAGTCAATTCCTTTGGTCAGGAACGAACTCTCCCTACAGACACCGCATCGGGGTCCGTCGCGGGAGCATTCTTCACACAAGTCCTCCTTGAAAGAGAAACAGTACTCACAGATCGCACCTTTGCATCCTTTACAATGAAATTCAGCAACAAGGTGGATGCGCCCATCACCGGTGTATTTACACCTGGGTTCGCCGGCGTTGCCATGATTCCCACCGGCAGCACTCCTCTTCCCCCCTCCTCCCGGGCTTTGCCGATCAGGAGGAGGCGGTGGCGGAGGATCATTATCAGGAGGACTAGGCGGAGGTGGCCGCTTATCCGGAGTACGGGAAGTGGCACGCCTACCCCCTGCGTGATCATTCAATCCACTACTCGATGCATGGCTCGAGTACTTTGATTCGAGAGTGTTAATTTTCTGGGCCGTGCTATTTAGCACGTTGAGCATCTGTTCAAGCTTGCTGTTGAGCGTAGTCGAAACAGCCATATTGTGAGTGTTCTGCTTGTCCGTGTAGGACTTGCAGTCCCTTGACTTGACCTCTAAGTTAGTCTGCGTTTCGCAGAGTTGGTCCTTGATCCACTTTATGCCTTCCGTGTTGGTAAGCCAACACTGCTCGGCATTTTGCATCATCTTGTCCATGTTAGACATCCTGGTGGATAAGTCCTCGATTTTGAGGTTCACACCACCAATCGCAGGATGATTGGCCTGACTATCCACAAGGGATCTCTCGATTGCTTCAATACGAGCAACAAGCTCGGCAACTCGATCAGAGATAGATTCAAAAACAGTTTGGACTTGGACGATCGATCGAGCGACGTCGTCGTAGCTGGCCCGTTCATTCAGGGCATCGCCTAGGCTAATCGCACGATCAGAAACGATCTTGACTCGTTGGCCAAGCTCGGCTACGACATCCCTAGCCCCTTGCGACAGCTGCATTGATGTATTTGCAGCCTGCGTACATGTGTTATTCACATGGACGCATTGGTCGTACTTGGCTCTCCACGAGTTAACCTCAGTGGTTAGTTGCCTGATGCATTGATCACTTCTATCATTCCTACGCCCAAGGTCTTCGACCTTAGCAACCAGGCGATGAATGATTGCACTTACGGAAGAGTCCACCTTCCCTCTTTCAAGGGCCGTGACAAGATCAGCAACCTCATTGGGCTGATCTTCAACCATCGGACTATGCCTTGATCCATGGTCCCGGGGAGTGGATAGATCAATCATGACTGGATTAGATCTCGGAGGAGTCCGGAAATCATCCTGCACGGCCGTTGATGGCCGTGGGAACTCACCCCGATTAGGAGATTGGCTCTGGTATGGCGCTGATCTCCTAGCATCACGAACCGCCGAGGGTTGTGTAATGCCCATGCCTTTGGCAACGGACAGTTTAGGAACAATAGGCCTATCATTTCGCATAGGAACATCAGGTCTCGAGTCAGCAATAACAACTTCGTTCAAATCGGTCGCGTTGGACACTCTACATTCAGACATCGATTCGATATCAGTCGCATTACTGATGGTGTGATTGCGACTAGAACTTGATGCCATCATGGACTCGGATTCTATCGGAACGTTAGCCCCGTCCATGTCATCGAGTGCGAAAAAGGAAGCCGCGTTGGGCGTAGGGCGAACACTTTGTGCGTTCAAGCCATTTGTCCTATTAAACTCCTCCTGGAATGCTTCGATCCCGTCAAGCACGTTAACGAGCGTGTCCGCGTTTAACGGGTCCCTTCCAATGATCGACGCTGGGTCACCTGATCGACCGCGTCCTGAGTCCCGTGTATTGGGGTTTCCCCTGTGGGCGGTTTCCCGATCCATCCCCCTTGCCCTGTGCGATCCAGTCGAATTTGACCTTGATCGCTTGCTTGGGGTAGGACTGGGATGCAAATCCAATCTGTCTACAATGTTTCGCTCCCTAGGGCTCTCAAATCCTGAAAGACCTGGGGGAGGGGACATGTTCCTCATGGTCGGGTTTACCGACGGCCTTGGCCTGACGTTACGGCTGGCCACATCAGGATTGAGACTCTCAATCGACAAAGGTAGCATGAATTCATCGCTTCCAGCAGCCCGTTGCGGAAAAGATGACGGGGCGGGTGGCCCTGGCATCCATGCGGCGTTTTCCATGCCAAAAATGTTTCCGTCGTTGGGCCATGAGGCTCTCCAACCTAGCCCACCGGATTCGGTTGGCAGATGAACATCAAATGCAACTCCACTGGATGTACCAGGTTCGGGATTACCGAGCACTTGAAAAGCTATGCTACTGGTTGGCACAGGTCTACTGCTGCCTCGGGAGTCACGAACCTCGGACTGACCAATATTCATCAGCTCGGGGAAAGATGAGGATTGAGCTCCAGGTGCAATACCGGGCTCGTCATCATCACGTCCTGAGACGGAATCATCATGGTCAGGACGATTAGTCCCACGACCCTGAGAGCGATTAGCTCTTGAGGCATTTGACGATACATCATCAGTGCGAGTAGCACTGGACCTCTCTGAAGGCATTGCTTCTGAAAAAGTATGATCCGACAAAAAGTCAGGACCGGAAAACATCGGCTGTCCGGGCACTTGGTCGTCATTCACAACTTCCAAGATTCCGGCCTGGCCGAGAACCCACTCATCGGTTACCACATGAGGTCCATCCTCAGTGATTCCCGCCATGAGTCCTACAGTAGCCTATGGAAAACGGCGCCTGCAGGGTTGCTATTTAAAAAGGGGTTCGCGGTGCCAACCGAGGACGAATCCTACGGCTGATAACCTGCGAAAGGGTTTGAAACAGAGTTTCGTTGTAACAAGAAGGGTTTGAAACCAAAAGGGGTGCCTCGTTGTAACAAGAAGGAACCAAGCAGAAGCGCAGCACAGCGCAAAGCAGACAAGCAAACCAGCAGCAAGCAGCACCAAGCGAGCAAAGCGAGCAGAAGCAGCGCACCCCAAACAATAGCCCGACCCACCTCCAGGACAAAGAACACCGCCCCAAACACAACGGTCGCGAAGCCACGCGGCCGGTGTGCGGATGCGCCGTGAACTTTTCCCGCCGAGATGGCGAACAATGAATGCCGGATGCAAAACTTGAGCCAAAATGCCGCGTTGGGCACTGGCGTGAAATATTCTATGATAAAAGTGCATGCCCCCAAAAACACAAACAAAACATTTAGACCGTGATACAACCAAACGTCGTAGTGATACTTATGCTGCACAGAAAGGTGCAGCCTGCTCATCGAAGGCCGTTGCCAATTTTGTTTAGATTTTGTTTTTTTTTAAAAAAATGGCTTCATCCACTTGTTCACACAGCATAGAAGTCTTGAGCTTGAGTCAGTGACAGCTACGTTGCAACCAGCCGTCGGCTTCTGAACGCGCCTTTGGGGCTGAAACTGAAATCCACCATTCCTCTTGCAAACCAGGGACAGGAACCTCGTCAAGCATCTCCGAATCTCTGGAAAATCAAGAAGCTCCTCCCTGCCCCACCTGGTTTCACCTTTCAAAAGCAGTTTGGCTCCAAACTGTACCTGCTCTTTGGATGGCACACTAGTTTGAATTGGCGCACAGGGCTACACATGAGTGCTCTAATTAGCACCAACTCAGGATGATCAGGAAAGGCAGACGTTGGATCAACTTGTGGTTTGAGGCGGCCAGGGTCTGATTGTTCGAGCGAACATTGCCTCGCCCATGTTGCCTGGGTTAGGGGGGAAATACGCATTTCGCCAGAAAGTTCAAGAGTTTAAGATCTAACCGAATAGCAATCACTGAACGACTGGGTTTTGCCCGGCCAACGTCACAGCCAACCCGTTGCTTTCCATCAGCTTCGCTCCTTCTGGGGCTGAGAAGGTCGCCGACTTTCGTCTCACCAGCTGACGGTCTGCGCGACCAGCCGACGTGACAAAACCTGAACTCAGTTGCTGGACATTTATTGAGTCAGAAATTGTATCTTCCAAAAGTAGTGGAATGTTAATACATCTAAATAGTTGTACATCAAAAGGCAGCTGACAATAAATGATCCCAAGGTGATATTTGATGTGTACTGGTCCATAGATACGTAAAACCAAGTTCCAATTTATCTGATACAAACCCAGATTTCTTAGCATACAAGTACAACCCTTGACAAAATTAAGAGGGTAACATGGATTGCGAATGCATGAATGTGGTGCACTACAATTGGGTGGGCCGCTGGTGAATAACCATTGCACTTACTGCAGGTCAGAGAACCATCTCAAACAAAGAGAACCATCTCAAAAAGAGAACTCTCGCACGAATTAACATGGAATCGGATAGGGAGTCCCATACAAAGGAAAATTGGCTTCCAGGATCCCCCTGTCAGGTTCCATGTTAATTGGTGGGAAAGTATGGGATAGTCGATCGATCCAATTTTCTTTGCGGGTAGTGGTTTCTGACCAACCCAGCACAAACAACCTTACTGGAAACCACATGATAGTTGTTGGGGGTGACCAAAGGGGAGCCTCTCCTAGTTTTCGAGACGTTGTGGTCCTACTTTGGTCGTGGAGTCTGAACAAGCTTGGTCCTAGTGTTCGCTCATTTTGTCGTAGTACAACATCTGGCCACATCATCTTGGTGCTAGTCACCTCAACTCGCCTCAACTCCGCTCAACTCAACTCGACTGAGGCTGCTGCAATTATTCAGGGCACCACCGAAGAACTAGGACCGAACCGACTCCCAAGGACCAAGACGACTCCCCGTGCCCGCGGATCAGACGGACCAAGGGAGGCCACCGAACATGTGGCCAGCCTCGGATGGTGCCCTCCGCATCTACCACAACTTCAGCACCGAAGGCCACGGGAAGGCAAAGTAGTAGGCCACATAGCGGGCACATGGAGCCTGCCCGTGCCATGCATGGATCTGACAGGCAAGGTACTATGAACTTGAGCTCAGCGGCGGCCAGGACAAAACTCGGTTGCTTTCTGCTCCCCTGCTAAAAGTTTAACTTTTAGTGGTTTAGTGGAAAACTCATTAGTTGGCAAACAGTTAAAGTCCTAACAGCCAAGCAAAATGCACCAAAGCAAACCTGTTTGGATTTTGGTTTGGCCGGACACTTTGTGCTTTTTCGGATGCCGAATTTAGCAAAGGATTCAGCCAGAGCGTTCTGAGAGGAAGGAGAGACAAAAAAGCGTGATCCAACCTAGCCTGAAAGGCAACCATCCACATCTCACCACGAAACCCTTGTAGATTCGCGGAATTACATGTATATACCTGGTCGGGAATTGTACCTGGTCAGGAGTCTTTTAGGAACCAAATTGCCCCCCCCCCCCCATGATTTGGGGCAGATCTCGCGTTGCGATTCCAAGTGAAAAAGGGTAGATTTGAGAGTTGCTTAGGGAAACCACGGGGACACCTCTGTGGGTTGGCTGGTGCTGGGCTGCGATCCGCCATGGCCTGTTTGTGCCTCTCATGCACATAAAGTGCATGGACAACATCTGGATGTAGGAAGCCCAAATGAGTGGCTTGGACAGGCTTTGGGTCAGAGATTTGGGGAGCGAAGGACGGGTGTAGAATTAGCCATTCGGCAGGGCATGTCCGTTTGGCTTCCCCTGAAAGCAGCCCTAAAGAATACACAACATTTGGGGCGGAGGGGGTCCTGGGTTTCCGTTTAGCTTCCCTTGAACACCGCAAAACATCCCACACATGGGTGAGTGTCCCCTTGAAAACTCCGATGCCGGAGCTTCACAGCTCCGAATCCCTCACTAGGTCCTCCAGTGGAGAGGTTAGAATAAGGGTACCAACTTGTTTCTGTAGCCTGTTTTAGTAGGGGAACCCTGTCCAAAAAAAGAAACGGTAAAAGGGCACTACTCAGGGACCTAGCCTCAAGTCCTGCTGGGTCATCCGCACATCTGCTCCGGCCGCCTTTTTCGGACCTTCGGAACCGCCTGGGCGTCTGACAGCGGCCAGGGCACAGCTTGCTCAATTTCTCCCGGCCAAGATTTGGCCGGGCGGCGCCACAAGAACGCCACGGATGGGATTGGTTTTTGTCTTGTTCGGCCGCGGCGTTTAGGAAGTCTACTCAAGAAGAGGCTTAAAGGGATCCACTCACCCGGATTTCGGCGCCCCGATGTTGGGGTGCACAAGGTTCACGTGATGGAGCGAGCGCGCGCGCGCCAGGCGAGGGAAAAAGGGGGCGAGCTCAGAAGGCCAGCGCAAGGCTCAGAAGAGGAATGCCTGACATGGCCCCTTTAGCTTGCGATCGGTGCGAGAGATGAGAGTTAATGGTAACCCCGGATTAATAAACCCGTCCCATTATTAGAGGGGTGTTCCCTCCAATAATCCGGGGTTAACATTTTGGAAGGACCCTGGAGAAAAAA